CTCATTGACGCTGCAGTTTGGCGTCTTCTACACCGATCTGACGCATATCGCGCTAGGTGTGCCGGGAGTTTGTTCGAAATTTCGAACGTTTCGAAGTCAATCGTCGATTGACACGTATTTTACGGATATATTAAATCGTTTCAGGGGTCTGTTTACTAAATAATGATGAATGAAACTTAGAAAACTTGTAAGAACAAACTGGGCCCAAATCGCAATAAGTTTATGCTGCTAGAGTCTGGTTCGGATGGAGTTCTACGCGTGATTTTATTGCGCTCAAGGACGTTCTATTTTCGAACTAGTTGAAACCGGAAATAACGCAACTATTTTCGAACTTGAAACACAAATTTGATTATCGTTATTATGTGTTAGTTTCTGTTGTTTCAAAGATTGAATTATGTATGACAAAAATATTTCACTCAATAAACAATATTTCACTAAAATATATGATTCAAAGGCAACCCAAATTGTAAAAAGCAATATTCGTATATAGCAAGTTCCGCGTATAAACACTGTTGTAAAGAGGCGGCGGAGCGGAATTTTAGCCAAAATCGGCTAGTAAGGCGTCATATGACACAGATTTGTGCTGGGACAGCGCTTCCGGTGACGACACAACGACTACACCTAAGAAGGTGAAAACCATTATGTTTGTTTGTTTTACACGACTCTCCTCACATTTTAAAAAAGAAAACACCAAAACATCGTCATGCATGTGTTCGATTTTTCGCCATTAAGCAGCAATAATGAACTCCACGTCAACTCATAATGGACTCAAGCACACGTTGTTCTTTAATATGTCACACAGTGTGTTAGAGCTTCTTATTGGTTTTTGTTATTATTCAAATAGTATAAAAGATGTTAAAAGGTCACACATGAAAAATATGACACATATACCAAAATTGAACTTGGTCGAAATCCCAACCTGGTAATGAAATACCCAAGTTTGATCTTTTACAGCATTCAGAAAATAAATGCATCTGGTTTAAGTAGTGAATCTTATTTACCTTTGCTTTAGGTCCCTTGTCAACAAGTATGTTGTCAATCTTCACATCACGATGTACAAGCTTTAACGTTTTGTGCAGATAATTCATTCCCAGTATCACATCGTGCACGAGATCTAATATTATTGGCCAGCTGACGTCATTATTCTTTTGGTAGTCCCTCAATGAACCGTGACACATGTATTCTAATACAAGTGCGTAGTTAGATGGATTCATCACAACACCTAACAGTTGGACTACATATGACGAACGGATATTAGTCATTGTACGTGCCTCGTCTTCCAGCATCTTCCGGTCTCTGGATGTGAAAAGTTAGTGAACAATGTCAAACTAGGGCTTTCTATTAGTGCCAGGGTAATTAAAAAAAGGATCATTATTTGTCATCTTGAAAGTGCACAGTTGACATTTTGATCAAACCCAGTCGTACATCCAAGTATGTATTGCGTAAGTGTCGACTAATCTGCATAGGTCATGTGTCACTTTCGGATTTACTCAGATGTGGTGATTTGAGGCCGTAACTTGAGCATTAGTATATTCATACATTGTATGGAGAATCACGCGAAGAACTGGGTTCAGTTTCAGGTTGTAAAAGTTGAGAAATAAATATCTCAGTTGAATCTCTATCTTGATTTGGTGACCAATACGCATTTGGCTCACACTGCTCTGAGAAACAGTTTATCTTCATATACCAGGTATACACATCCTATGTGTATCGTTGTGATCAGTTATCTTAAGTAGTTTGAATTTCATTTTTTGAATTATTTTGATTGATTGATTGATTGAATTTATTCACTTTTTACAGGCAATATTGATAACAGAATACAAACAACACTGAAGTATACAGTGAATAAGAGGCTGGAAAATAATGCAAAACGAGTTGAGTCGAGTCCACCGGCTTTTCTAGATGAAAAATAAACTACAAGATTAAGTGGACGCTAAAAACATTTCGTACAACTCAATTATGCATACTGTAAAAATCTGTTCATTTTGTGTTTGCATAAATTTATTGAGCTTATCGAACGAATTTCTTCTGGAAGTTTATTCCAGAGTTTGGTCCCGGCATATTTGATTGAATATTGTCCCGAATTAGTATGGTATTCTGGAATAATAAGATTACCTTATGATTTTGATTTTGTGTGATAAGAGTGTTGGGTGGAAGAGAAATATTGAGGAGACCCTGGTGCCATTGAGACTATCATGAACAAACAAAGACATTTGCGAATCATGTTGTTAATGGATATCTAGTACATGGAGCTGATTAAAAAGTGAAGTAGTGTGTGAGAGGCGATCTGATCCTTTTATTATACGTACATTTTTTTCTGTGTGAGATGTATGGGTTTCAGGAAAGTTGAGTACGTGTTCCCCCAAACTTTTAGTGCATAGGAAATATGTGGTAGGATGCAACAGTTATTGAATAGTAAAATAATTGATGGTGGAATAATGTCTCTCAACTTGAAAAAAATACCTGTTTTACTACTTATTGTTTCGTTTACTTTCTGTATATGGTTCTTTCAGTCAATGTTATTGTTCAATTCAACACCAATGTACCTAATTGTTTCAACTTCATATATTGTTACCCCTTTTATAATAATTGTACCCGTTGAATGTATTGATGCCTGTTTACCTCTAAATATAATGTATTCGATTTTTTGGAAATTTATTGTTAATTTATTTGTATCGCACCAGTCTATAGCATTGTTTAAATGAGAATTTACATTTGAAAGATCTATTGTGTTTCTTGAATTGAAGGTATGAAATAGGATGGTGTCGTCTGCAAATAAACGGGTGTCAAAATAGTCTATGGCGCTTGCAATATCATTTACGTAAATCAGAAATAGTGTCTGACCTAGCACAGAGTACTGATGAACTTCGCAAGTAATTGGTAGTTCATTCGACTGCATCGCATTAATATTGACATATTGATTTCTCGTTATGATGTGTTAAGGTTTGATATGTTAATTCAAATCACGGTTTCTCTCAATAGTTTGTGTCGTTTATAAACAACTGATGTTATTTATATACATACCTTTCTATAATCTGCAGATTTTTGAAAATCCGTTTAACCGCTACAACACCCCAGTCTATGTGGGACGCTTTATAAACATTGCCAAACCCACCACCGCCAAAATTTTCGTTTGTAATGGCATATTCGTCAACAATATGTCCAATATCCGGGTTAGCAGTAGCCATTTACCACGTATCTGCAAAAGAAATATTATACTAATTTTCATACAAAAATAGCATTACCGAATTCTAAGTATTCGTCAAGAAATAGTTGACACATAATGATGAATTAATGTATTTATTATGTTGATTGGAAATACTTCAGAATTATATTATTATTATGTTTAATGTACCCAAGTGCATACATGACTGTGTAGCTACATTTAAAAATGGCTGTCAGTCGGCCACACAATAATACCTATTTATAAATTATTACATCATGTGTTTGTACAAGGTATGAGAAAAATCCATAAACTCTATCTAAGGATTTAGTTCATGACTGTAGAAAACAATATTATGTTCATAATGTTATAATCAAAAAGATTAATAATAAATTTATAGTAAAAAAACAAATGAACACATGTGTTACACTGGCAAATGGTCTTATATCATATCAATGGTAAAGTAATAAATATATGTATATTATTGGAGTGGTATGACATTGTTTAAAACGCTAAGACCTCACGGGAAAGAATAATGTTCTAAATGTGCGTGAACAAATCATTTACAAATTGTACAAATACTTAACATACGTAATACGAGTCATGACAGACTTGCATACAGCCTCTTGTTTATTTGTTGGTGTTTTTTTTTTCGATAAAATAAAATATCATGGAAGTGTGTAAATGACGAAAGCTTACTTGTCTATTTCGTGGTAACCCGGATTTCGGTATTTATATACTCCAATATTTTATTTTATTAAAACAACACAAACAACAAAATAAACAAGAGGCTGTATGTGTCACTGGCACGGGCCGGAAACAATTTGGCAATGTTTGGTCTAGCTATCGTTACCACATTACAGTTCATATACAAGACGTATGGTAGTATATATTTTATTATATTCGTCACCATCGGAGATATGTCTTACAATATTCGCTTACAGCGTCAGGTGAGAATAATTATAATAGTTATATTAATTATGCATAGATTATAAATTTAAAAAAAAACATACAGTACTGTTAATATTTAAATCAGTTTGTACGTAAACAAAATAAACTTTAAATAATGTATAAATGTCCCAACTATATTGATTTCAAGAATTACAGTGGCTGAGCACGGGTTGAGGATACGATGACGGTCGAACTTGGCTGGTTCCGGTACATGATATCACAGGCTACAGTCCATCAATATCGTCAGATTCCGGTAGATGTCTAGTTCGAATAAGCTCAAGTTTGGTAGTACGGTCGGTTCT